ACGACCTTTCCGCGGCGCCACGGCTCGTCACAGCCGTGAACAGCCTCCAGGTCGCGACTGTGCTCGGTGATGGTGACATAGAGGGTGCTCGTGGCCTTCCAGAACTGCCAAGGGGCCAGGGCGACGGACGAATCGACGACCTTGTATCCATGGAAGTGGTACTTCTCTCCGTGGATGCCCCGGAGGTCAAAGTCGTACGTCATGTTGCGAGTTCCCGGTGCCTTTTGGTCGAGAATGAAGAGATTGAAGTCGCCTCTCTGGACCATAAAGGGAGAACCGCGGAGAGAGGGGCAGACAAAAGTACCCGTGAGCATGGCAGAGTGGTCGGGCTCCTTGATCATGGACTTCGTGTTGAAGGCCTGCACACTGAGGAAGAATCTGGCGCTCTCGCAAAGGCTCTTGGCTGCTCGGTAGGCCAACTCATAGGTGGCCCGCTTGTCAGTCACAAGCCCATCGTCACGGTGGACAAAACCAGACATAACTTCGGTGAAGCCGAATCCTCCAGCCTTGGACTGATCGGCATGGCGAATGAGTGAGCTTGCCTCGTCAATTCTCTTGATCTCGACTTCGGTCTCTGCCGTCTCGTGGGATTCTTTGGGGGCAAACTGAGGCTCCCCGAATAGGTCCAAGATGCCGTTCTCGTTGGGGTGAATCTTGAGATTTCTCCTGTGGATGTGAGCGTCGACGGAACGCTCGGCCAGGGCTGTGATTGTGGCGAAGGGGTTGACACCAATGGCACCGGGAATGACAGAGGCATCAGTGATGATGAATCCAGGGTGGGTTTCGTCGTCGTCTCCAGCGAATACCTCACCAACATCGTTGGTGACACCGGTGGCGCCAGTATCATCGCGGGCCATACAAGCTCCACTGAGAGGTTCGTTAGAATAGTTCAAAAATGGATCAACGTCAAACTTACCCGATAGGATGAACGGTCACTTGCTGACCTCCCATCAAGGCATCGAAAGGGTTCTTGACAAAGGTTCCGCCCATGGCTTGCGTGGCCTTTGCCAGCAAGTCATTGAGTTTGCGGACGTGATCGCTACGACCAACTCCGAGGAACTCAAGGACTGGCTTGTCATCCTTGAGTGTGAGCATGGCCTGGCTGCTGTCATGGGACATGACCAGATAGACCTGAGTGTTATCCATCGATCCGCCCTGGCGATACGCGCCGAACAGATGGCTTGAGTACCGAGCAAAGGCGGAGCGGACCTTCTCCTGGAACGGCTCTCCGGTGGCTTCAATGCTGCCAGGCATCATCTCCAATAACGTCTGGAGGAACGGTGTCAAAGAACGAGGGATGGCTCCCTCTTGGATAACATATCCATCAAGAGGGTTCTCGTGTCCTTCACGGTCATCAATTACGGAGTTGATGGTAGGCCCGATGGGGTTATACGGGTTCGGGAAGGGCTTCCCGATCGCGTTCGCCTCCTCGTCCATATTGTATCTGAGATCGCGGTCAGTCGCATACATCTCGCAGTAGAAAGAATCAAACTTACCCAAAGGCTAGCATATCGCCATTGCCGCTCATGTTTTCGCCGACGCGGGGACTCAGAGGCAATCCCATCTCCTTGCTACGGAGAAGGATCTCGGTGCTTCCAATAGCACCGGCACCGAGGAAGACGCACTCCTTCGCATGCACCCACATCAAGTCTCCGTGGAGATTGGCCTTGAAGTGACCTCGGTTCCGGCCATGCCAGGCGAAGAAAATGAGGTAACCTCCAATGCGCGGGTCGGCCTTCTTGATGAAACGAACCTCGCTCTCGCAGAACATTTCTGCGCCCCAGTTCCAGGCATCGGCCAGGTAAGTCACCAATGTAGTCGTCTTGGAGCCATCATTGACACCAGTGCAGTCCTGGCCGGTCAGGGCTGACGGGGACATCTCCACGCCAGTACTGTTGGGACCATTGCGGAATCTGGTTGTTTGAGGGACCATCTTGAACTTGTCGGACATGCCAAGAGCGGCAGCTTGCTTCTTGAAGACATTGACTTTGGGAAGTTCGGGCCAGTCGTCTGGATATTCAGCGGGCTCAAGAACATCGCGAGCTCTTTGGTAAACTGAGTGACTACGTGTCAGGAATATCTCCAAATATTCACACAGAAGACTTTAAGGCGAATGACTTACACTTCTCCAGACATTTGGGGTTCTCTCTGATGGACTTTGGCCAGATAGGCATAGACAACGTCGCCTCGTTGGCTTCTAGAAAGACGTTGGCGTTCATCAGACTCGTGCCACCCAGGCCTTTCGTCAGTTAGCAATGAATTTTCAACGAAATTGGGAAGAAAACAATTACCATTGCCAACGATAGCGTTCAACCCCTTTCCGAAGATCAAGTGGTACATGCCAGTCGGGTCACCCCTTTCCACGGTTGTGCTGGGGAGCCAACCAGGGGCAAACTCGCCAGAAACGTGAACCTCGTCAAAGGCATCGAGAACGCCAGTAGGATATTCGCCTGGCCACTTCTCCTGTCCTCGCTCCAGGACACATACAGACTGGCGCTTACCGTTGGCATCTTGGCAACGGGCGAGGCGGGATGCGGCGACAGCACCACCATACCCAGAACCAATGACAACGACATCATAGCTGCTGCGCATCAGCTCGACCGGCTTGGATATGCGAAGGTATTGCCTTCGAGCATCGTCGGCATATGTGCGGATGTTGGCGTAGCTCCTTGATCTAGGGGCGTTGTCTTCTTCGTGAATTCCGAAAGTCGGGATTCTGTGAGATTTGCTGTATCTGATACCATTGGACGGGGGTTCCTCTTGATAAGATTTTGAAGACGCTGTCTGCGGGCGTGAGTCCGTTGAAGCAGGCGAGAAGCCGGCATATCTGGGTGTCGAGCCGTTGTGGCCGTTGTGACCATTGGTGCCATTGCTGTCCAAGTGGTATCCATTGGCCTTGGACACATTAATATGGCTGAGACCAGTTTCGGTGCCGTTCTTGAGGCTCTCTGTAGTAGCCATTGGAGCCATGTGTGTGTGGCGCTTCTAGCGCTGGGATATCCAAGCGTGGATAATGTCAGGGTATATAATACTCGAAAGCAAAGTTGATGAGCAAGTGTGAGAGTCCTGAGAAAGGCTCTACTGATTAGGAAATGCTGCCAAGATGCTGGGTTAATGTGGTTGGTGAGTGGTTATGGGCTGAGATTGAGAGGGGTTTCGCCAGACTCTATATAGCAACAAAACAGAGAAGTAGATACACGCTTCAAGGCTGAGAAGATGAATGCGGATGATGAGCGCAGAATGAAGGGCAGAAGAGAGAAATGGGCTTCACAGAGAAGATGTAAGAATGCTTCATTGGGGGATCCACGGCGGGCCAAGCAGAGGGAGATACGCCGCTGCGAACTATTCCTAGTAAGAAATCCCACACTAGTCTATGTAGATACCTAAACAGAGAACCCACCCTAGTCAGACCAGGAGGGAACACCACCGTGGATGATGACCGGGGTCCTGGGAACATCCTTGCCGATAGGCACATGGGGATACTAGGTCACTAGGTGCATTGGGTGCGCTACGAACGAACGAGCGAGCTTGTCGAGTTGGCAAGGACCAGTGCCGGATCCGTCATCGATTGCAAGTGTGGAGGGCATACTGCGCGCGAGAAGAAGAGATGGCTGTTGGTCTCGAGCCGAAGACAAACCAACACGACCAACAGTAGAGAATGGATTGGCAGCATGTGGACTACAGCAACTACACACCGAAGTCGAAATTAGCAGATCGAGGCAAGCCAGGGCCAACATAGTTTGATAGTTCTGCTATCTTGTGTCTCGGGCCTAGAGCCTGAATCCGAATTCATTCATTCTTGCACTCAAGTTGGAGCGAGCCGGTCTAACGAGGCTGGCTGGAAAGCCGGGGCTTGAGACTCAAATCCGGGGCCGGTTTTATCGGGCTCTGGGTAAGCAAAGAGGCAGACAATAAGGGAAAGCAACAGAGAAGACCGCGGTCTCGGCACGAGCTGAGGTCCTGAAGGCGGGGACAAGAAGACGGGGGATATAGTGAGGGTGAGACTGAGGTTCAGCGCCATGTTTCTCGAGGTGTGAGTGGGTGGTTGCGTCGGCGCAATAGAATGCAGAGCTGCAGATGTGCAGAAGGCGTTGCCGAAAATAAGAGTAGCGTCGTGTGGATAGTAATCGGGGTAGGATTGTACTGGGTAAAGGAGGAGGGCTGATGGAGAGTCGGGCTGTGACAATCACTTCTTAGTGTGCAGCAACTATTGCAGAAGATGCGAGACGGCATGAGTCTATTGGCCGGACCGAGTCTGTCATGACCAGAAAAGAAAGAAGCTGCCTCTTGGTGTACATTGTATTGGGTGGTGCCATTGGTGCCGTTGATGGGGTTAGCTGAGTGCTACGAGCAGCAGTACCTACTTCGGTGGACAGGAGAACTCCAAAAAAGAATACTTCACCAGGTACTCCGTACCTTAGATAACCATCCAGGCCCAGGCTAGCGGAAAGATGGATCCTGAATGGCCGGTAAAGACATGTCTCTTGGGTCGCTCTTTGCGTGTGCGCAAACGGGCCAATAAAATTGGTCGAAAGTTGTCTCCCCTTCGGCTTTAGCCAGGCGGCCGTTCCCAGTGGGAAGGACTTGAAGGAATACGTACCGTGCCGTAGATTTCTCCACCCGACGGAGTGGTTGCCCGTTTGGACTTTGACCTGAGTGAGTCCCGTCCTTTTGCACCCTTGCCCCGCTTATCTTCAACTGGCAGCCACTCCAGGGCTCAGCTAAAAGGAACTTCGGCTTGGCACGTGCATCAAGTACCTTTTTTTTTTTTGCCAGACCACCCTTCCCGAACAATCAGTGATTGCCTAAAGCATCCTGGGGTTAAGGATGAATTCAGCAACAAAAAAATGCTACCATGAATTGGACTTTACCCTCGACTGACCCCAGGCAGCCACAATCGACATCGAAAACCCGGTCACAGAATTCTTCAGACCACTTCCAAACAAGCCAACCGCAACCGTTGATGCTGCACGCTTTGCGGCTCAATTCCTCTTCAAGACATGGTTGAGATGGTAAAGTTCGAAAGACAACAGCAGACCCAGGCAATCCAGGTGTTCTCAATTAAGCCAGTGCAAGTCTGGATTGAAGCAAAATCGGCTCCCGAGCTGCCCGTCCCCCCACATGCAAGCTGAGACAATCGAGTGGTGGACTTGACTAGCCTGGTCTCAGTCCGTTCCGTTCATTCAAAGAATGAGATAGCCATTGAAGCAGAGACCTGCCAGAGTCTTGTGCGACAGGATCACCTTACGAGACTAATCCGTATCCCTACCCCGATGTATTGGTGCAAAGTGAAGTCGACATGACAGGGGCCGGGACCTCGGCTGGACATCATCCACGATTTTCATGCTACCAAGCCTTGGCCTTGATAAACATGAGGTATTGTCCTTTTCGTCTCCTTCTGCAGCTTCTGCAAAAGCTTGCCCTATCATACTACGTGATGACGATGTAGAAGCGCATACGCCGCTGAGAAGCAGAATATGAGGCGAAGTACGAATAGGCAAGACTTACTTACATTGACTGAGGTAAGGTATATGCAACTTTTCTCGGGTCGCCGATGTAGTCAATAGGAAAGCTCACCTAGTTCATTCACTTGATTGAGAACGCAAAACAATGATTGATGCTTGACATGCTCGATGGGATCGACATGCGATTCGAGGCGACAGGGCGAAGGGTAGTGAACCGGGTTCCAACATCAAATTACACGGACCGGAATTGCGGCCTCTGTACGGAGTATCGACTGGGTGACGAAGTCCGAGGCTCCTAATGCCACAATCTCTGCCCACATGTCTCGTCTGACTGTGTTCTAATCCATGATCAATGTCACAGATAGTCCCCGATAACTGACTGCGTAATTTGGTAATCCGTAAGCTCGCACCAACAACGCGGGCCTGCGGCAAGGGCCCGCAGTGGATCCCGGTCCGGCCCCCCTGCGGGAGGGTGGTCGCTGCGCCATCCGCTACTGCCCCGCTAATGCCATCCCGACTCGGCGGGCCCCACTCATAGCCCATCGGTGCCTTCCGAGTCACTTCAGATGCCCTGGAATACATCATAGCCGACCAATCTTTCCAATCAGAGTGCTCCCGACACCTCAAGGCAACCGTCAGGCTGAACTGTGCCTCTTTCATCTTACATCCAGCTTTGCGGTCGAGTTGCATCATTCGTCTCGGTCATCTCCAGCTCCGTATTGCTGCATGCCTCGTCTGCCTCGCCATTGGCAGATCGACAAGACATCAACGGTCAGCAATCGTGCGATGAAACATATGCCAGGGCCGAGTCTCCCGTCATTGTCCAATATCATTTGGCAATCCACGAATCAACCTTTCAACTCCTTGGGTAGGGCTGAGTTCGCTGCCCACGCGAACGCAGACTTACTAGGCAGGTACATCAGACGGCCGCTGCTGCAGGGGTCAACCCATCAGCCTCTGGCCAATGCGCCGTAACGACTTACAACGACGTCGGTGGCCTCGTCACTCGCCCAGTCGTGCGCGGCCGCAACTCGATGGCATGATGCAAGGCCCGATCGACAGAAATGAGTGCCAGAGCGACGCATATCCAGCACAGCGAAGTGACCACCACCCTCCAATCTGTCCGCTCAGTTCCTACATCTGTTGTATGCATCAAAGTCACAGGACGCGAGATGCACTGGAAATGGTACGTTACGATGCACCTCGTCCAGAGACACATACTCTTACGTCCGTTAGGAACGCCTTCTTCAACAAAGCCACCACTGGAAACACGCGATATTTATAAAATGACGTTAAATAAAACATCATCAACATGTTGTGCTGCGCGGGATCTTGCCTGTGGTCGAATCAGCATTATCGTTGTATCGTTTCACAACAGGTGAAGTCCCCGAAAAATTCTCTTTCCAGCAGTCACATCATCTCTATCTGAGGTATCTCGGGGAAACACAATGAACATCGACGATGACTGTTGTTGCTTCTAGATATCTGTTTGGCCAACGTCAACTTGGCGATGCGGGTCTGGCGCACGCAGCCCATCTCTCGCCAGCTAGGGTCAACGAAACCAGCTAGGGTCAACGGAGCTATTCCATATCATGTCCAACCTTGAACTAAACGAGTCGTCGAATACGCGTCGAAATCAAGGTCTTGAGCCACAAGCGATGTTCATTTGCCCGTTATTGCACTGCCCCATACAGACGGGCGGATGCTTCACAGCCAGCAACATTGTCCTGGCACTTCGATCGATCAACAGATGGAACGCCAACTCGGGCCGTCTTTCTCTCGTTGAGCACTGTGTTCAAGTCTTCAGGGATGTCATTGAGCTTCGGTTTGTACGGCAGACGGCGGAAATATGCCGCTACGTATTTGTCTACGAGACCCCTCAGGCATGCCTGGTATCCGAGGTCGACCTATCAGAGTATACTCATATCGCCAGTGCAGTGCCTCCGCATGGTGATCATCTTTGAATGGGTGTGAGAAGAGAGTGCTGACGAGAGAAGATACTGAGACCAGCGCTGACACTCTAAAGCCACTTTCAACTGCGGCAAGAAGCCTGCCCGCCGGCTGTTGATGTTTCTAACATCCGATCGAAGCCAGTAAAGTCGTTCTGCTCACTCAGTCTCGCGCCCTTTCTACAAAAGTGGAGCACTCCGAAGGATTCGGCTTATTCAAATCCTTTAGTCGGCACTTGGAAAGATGGCTGTTAAATCTTCCGGTTCGTTGAAACCTATGCTTACACTTCTCTGGCGACAAGAAGTCATCACTCAAAGAGTAAGTAGTTTGCTTATCAAAAAAAAAGTAATTGGTATTGATTTAACTCAGGTATCCCTGCCGCCAACGCCAGCTCCGAAATACAAATAGACATTACACCGAATTTCAAGGTCATCACTACGTCTGCCCATCGTCCTTAGACGTGGTTCCCGCCGCTCACACCAACTTTTCGTGTCGCTCTTCCGAAGTGCCGGTTGAGAACGCTTAGTTCCACCAGTCACCCTGGTCGTGCATAGCACGGGCAACCTTGACGAAACCGGCAATGTTGCTACCAGCGACCAAACTGGGAAGCTCGGTCTCACCACCCTTGACGTACTCCTTGGCGGTGTTGAGGCCGTTGAAGAAGGCAGCGGTCATGATGTCCTTGAGCTTCTGGTCAACCTCCTCGCGGGTCCAGCTCAGGCGCTGGCTGTTCTGGGCCATCTCGAGGCCAGAGACGGCGACACCACCACAGTTGGCGGCCTTTCCGGGAGCGTACCAGATGGCCTCGCCACCCTTCTCCTTGCGCTGGGCCTCGAAGACGTCGATGGCCTCCTGGGTGCAGCCCATGTTGGAGCCCTCGGCGATGGCAATGCAGCCGGCAGCAATGAGAGCCTCAGCCTCCTCCTTGGAGACCTCGTTCTGGGTCGCGGAAGGCAGAGCAATGTCGACCTTGCCAACGTGGGTCCAGGGACGGGCGCCCTTGATGTACATGAAGGAGCCCTTGTGGTCGAACTCGGTGAGAGACTTGCGCTGGACCTTGAGGTCGGCAATGTTCTCAATCTGCTCGGGGGTGAAGGCAGCGTCACCCTCGGCGACGAGGCAGCCCTGGGAGTCGGACAGGGAGACAACGGTGGCACCAAGCTCGATGCACTTGAGGGCAGCGTACTGGGCGACGTTGCCGGAACCAGAGATGGCGACACGCTTGCCAGCGAAGGAGCCCTTGTTGGCGTACTTGAGCATCTGCTCGACGTAGTAGACAACACCGTATCCAGTGGCCTCGGGACGGATCAAGCTACCACCCCAGGTAAGGCCCTTTCCGGTGAGGACACCCTCGAACTTGTTGCGCTCCTGGCGGTAGGTACCGAACAACCAGCCAATCTCGCGGCCAGAGACACCGATATCACCAGCGGGGACGTCGGTATCGGCACCAATGTGCTTGCTGAGCTGGCGCATGAAGGAGACGCAGAAGCGACGGATCTCGTTGTCGCTCTTGCCCTTGGGATCGAAGTCGGAACCACCCTTGCCACCACCCATGTTGAGGCCGGTCAAGGCATTCTTGAAGATCTGCTCGAATCCGAGGAACTTGAGAACCGACAGGTTGACGGTAGGGTGAAATCTCAGACCTCCCTTGTAGGGACCGAGGGCCGAGTTGAACTGAACGCGGTATCCGCGGTTGACCTGGAGCTTGCCCTTGTCATCCTCCCAGACGACGCGGAACTGGATGACGCGCTCGGGGATGGAGACGACCTCGAGGGCGGTTCTGTACTCGGGGTTCTGGGTGAAGAGGGAGGAGTTCTCGAGGGTGCTGACAAGCTCTATAGACGGTGTTAGTCTTGTTGGATACGATGTGTAAGAATGGCCGTAGATGGCAACATACCATTGTAAGCCTGCTGGAACTCGGGCTCGGTGGGAAGGTTAGACATTTTGACGGTTTAAAGGTATGTTGTATATATATGGTGCTTCAAGGTTGTGTCTCTGAGAGGTGATTTCCTAGTTCGTCTGGCAGAGAGAGAAACTGATGAAGTTCCAAGTCGAGAAGATGGGGGAGGGAGGTGCGCCCGCAAGATTATATACAAATCTGGGAACCCTGTCGATCGAAACGAGAGCCAAATCGAATCGAGTAAGAACTCACAGACTGGCAACGGCGAAGCGTGTCGTTGCCCCATGTTCCCCCCGGTCATCTACGCCTCCAAGCTTCGGGAGCCCCTTCATGGTGAAGGTAGATGCAGGCGGGGACCAGGGACTAGCGTGAGAGCAAGATATGTCCGGGTCGGCCGTGGGGGGCGTGGACGGTGGAAAAGAGAGAGATAGGACTCCTCCTCCCTCGCCTCTCCTCTCACGTCTGGAGCGCATTCATTCGGCGCCAGACCGACAATTTGTCGTGTCCCATAGCTAACAGAAAATGAAAAAGGGCCCGGGTGAAACCCACGCGGGTTGACGTAAAAAAGACTCAGCGAGTCTAGGCTGGATAGAGTGCCGGGACCGGGCCCGGGTTTTCGCGCTATGTGGCCGGCGGGGGCCTTTCGAGGTCCCTTCATGCAGCTCTCTGATTTGCTGCCGAGTGTCAATTATTCACGACCATCACAAAGAGTCTAAGAGACAAGAGGGTTTGCGCTGCCGCGCGAGCGGTTGCGATTCCGGAGGCGGCGAGCCGAGCAGGCATTTGCTGGGGCGGAAACCAGGAGTCCGCAACTGAACTGCAGGGGCGCAGGGGTCTCAGGGATGGCCCGGACGCTCCATTGTTCGGGAGAGGGAAGAAGACATGCCCTGGAATGCGCGAATGCCCTCCATCGACAAGCCCGGCGCGCGTGTCCCAAACAAGCCATAACCTGGGGGACGTCATCCAACAATTGCAGCCCATGCCCGCGGACCCCCCACCACTGGCACATGCTTCCGCATGCACGGATTTCTTCTGTGTCTCGCCCTCCTTTCTTGACCTGTCACTGTCACTGGGAAAAAAACAAGGGACCCCGTCAAATGTTGCTGTCATTGGAAATGTCCTTGCATGCTGTGGCGTGCCACTTGGGAACAAGAGCCGAAATGTAGTCCTATCAACCGTCTCTCATTGGTTGTCCTTGGTGTCGAGATACAGCAAGGTAGATCAAACCTTCAAGTTTTCAAGCTGAGCTTCTAGCTCTAGGACGCTCGAAGCCAACTGCCATTCGCATGTCCGCACACTTCTCCCCAAATCGTCGATGCTGGTGCGGCAGCGCTGATGGCGGCACTAGAGAATTATCTGGGAAAGGGAAAGGGGGCTTGTCACAAATTGGCCCATGACGCAGCAGGCGTCATGTCTTGCATAGACCCATGGGGTGTTCTTTTCGTTTCTCCATTATGCCACTTGAAGGTTCAAAGATAAGGAAAATCGAGAGACGAGGATTTGCGACAGGTTCGACACATGTGAATTGATCATGGCAACTTGTAACGCCAGTCATGGTTGGGTGAGTGGTTGGACTGGACCCAGGGCCACCAGAAGCAGGCTAGCATGAACGGGAGATAGATTGACAAGAAAGAAAGTGTCCGAAGAACGGCGCGTCGAGTAGCAGTTCCGCGATCGGAAGTGAAAGGTGCCAACGTAAGTGACGGGAGTGAGTGTGTGTGTGTGCGACAACGAAGACGGCGACGGCTGGGCTGCCGTCGGTGCAGTGCCCTGGTGCAGCGCTGCCGTGGGTGGTGACGGACTGAGCTGACATGCGAAATTGCTCAGCCGATTGAGTCGGAAAGTGCGACGCAACCCGATACAATGCGCTCCTGTCTTCGCATACCTTGTCCTTTACCCCGCCGACGTCGCCCCTCCATGTTGGGTTGGGTTTCGTTTCTGCCCCTCGCTTCTGAACTCCCGATTCCCGAACCCGCTGTCGCGTGTTTTTTTTCTTCTTTTTTTTCGTCTTTGCTTTGACTGGCAGGTAGTCCCCTGAAGATGCCTAGGCAGGGGTTTCTTTCCTCCGATCGTTCTCCGGGGCCATCTTAGTCTTTGCCGCCGTTGCTGGAGAAAAAAAAAATGGAGGGGTTAAATCTGTATCCGTACTATTTCGAAATCTCATCTCGGAACTGAGTTGTCTAAGGCAGTTCG